AAGGCTGAGGAGGCTAGAAAGGCTGAGGAGGCTAGGAAGGCAGAGGAGGCAAGGAAGGCTGAGGAGGCAAGGAAGGCTGAGGAGGCAAGGAAGGCTGAGGAGGCTAGAAAGGCTGAGGAGGCTAGAAAGGCTGAGGAGAATAGGAAGTCTGAGGAGGCTAGAAAGGCTGAGGAGAATAGAAAGGCTGAGGAGAATAGGAAGTCTGAGGAGGCAAGAGTGGAGGAGGAAGCAAAGGAAAAGGTCGCGCATGAAAATAATGAAGTCGTTGACGAAAAGGATGATAGCAAGACAAAGGATTTATTTTCGGATAATGCTATAAGTATTGAGCAAGAAAAAAGAGGTGACTTAATATTAAATAGCAGTAAAAAGTCTAAGGGTTCCGCAATGAACAAAGTTGCTGATTCATCCAATAAGAACAGGGAAGAGTCGAAGGAGTTTCAAAGGCATAAGTTCAATGACAATAATATTTCTGGTGAAAATGGAAATTCTGAAAGCAATTCGAATCCAGAAGCATATGATAAAGAAAATTTCGAAGAGGATGTCGAAGAAGCGAAAAGGAGAAAGGAGGTTGACGATAAGGATATCGGATCGGAGATTCCAAACAGTAATTATGCACCAAGAAATTATGGATCCAGAGATGATAAATTAGATAAGGATCTATATATTAATAGAGAAGCTAAAAAAATGCGGGAGGAGATAATAAATTTATCAAAAAAAAACCCATGTACTGTTGATGTTTCCTCAGAGTTTTGCGATTATATGAGGGAAAGCATATCTTTTGGTAATTGCTCTGAAGAAGAGAGAAAACGAATGTGTTGTTCAATTTCAAATTATTGTTTAAAGTATTTTAGTTATAGTTCAAGTGAGTATTATAACTGTACGAATGAAGAATTTGGCCACAAGGATTACAAATGTTTTCAGAGGAGTAGAGTTTCAAGTATGTTCCGTTGACATTGAAAGAAAGAAAAGCAAAAAAAAAAGAAAAAAAGAAATAAACAAAGGGACAAACAAACAAATAAATACACACAAAAATACATAATTTGCTCACTGGGACACACGTGCACATATGGAAGTGTCTCAATTTCTGTGATGGACTTCACTATATATATTTTTACCAAGTTATTTTTTTTTACAGACGCGGCTTATTTTGCTGGAGCAGGAATAATACTGATACTCCTGCTTGTCATCGGTTCAAAAGCTACTCTGGGAAAATGGTAAGTAAAAAATTAAAGAAAAAAAAAATCACATATAGTATTTGTTACCCGTCTTAAAAGAGACTTTCTAGTAAGAGTTTTGCCCCTTTTATTGCGGGAAATCTGTATTTATTTGTTTATTCTGTTACCTAGGTTTGAAGAAGCTACCTTTGATGAGTTTGATGAAAATTATGAAAAAGTCTACACATTAGCAATGATAAGTAATAATTCTTCAAAAGGCAGAAATGTCTGATGATATCAAAAGAGTGCATAAAGAAATGATGCGTGCACGAGATAAGAGCGTCATTTTGTCAATTTTTCCTTAATTTTTCTTAATTTTTTCTACTTATTTCTCAGCCAAAGAACAAACACAAGAAGTGGGGTCGTTAGATTTTTCCGGGTACATGTCTGATAAATGACATTTGTTTTGACCTGCCCTTTTGTGAATCCTTAAACTATTAAGACTTCGTATGAAATATGTATTCCTGTAATTTTTCCCACACTTTTACAGTGTTTTATACGGGTTAATTATTTCAGTTCTAAAATGTTATGCCGAATTAGCATCAAGACTGAAATATATTATTTATATTTTAAATGATAAATATGTGTATATAGAGTTTGCCCAATGCATCGTTATCGTTTCTCTGATTTTTAACCATGAGAAGTGTGTTTACTTGATTTTTTTCTTTTCTTCTTTTCAGTATATTTTTTTGTATCCGTAATTTTACAGAAATGAATAGAGAACATTCCACACTAAACTTCAATATAATGAATTGCGCCTTTTTTGGAAAAATAGCTTCACGAAATAGTTAGTAAAAATATTAATTGTTGTGAATAAAATTCTCTACTAAGTTGGAAGTTGTCCTGTTTTTATGAAAACAAATGTAAATATAACCAATGTTGTAAGTCGGTTTTAGTTTATTTATGTCTATGCTTGATAAAGTGAAAAACGGTAGGGAAGAAGTGGTGTGAAATTATTCCTCTCGGAGAAAGGGTATCCATTTATTAAGTTGTTGATGAAGCAATAATTTATCCAATTGATTATATACTTATCCAATGTTCTTTAGTTAGTGCTAATTTATCATAGCATCGTGCACTTGCCTTTTATTTAAGTACAGCCCATTGTTAGCGTCTCTATTCAACCCCTTGCGGAAGATCATAAAGTTGTATTTAGCTAAGTGTACGTTTGCATGATTCAGGGTGTGAGAAAAAAGAGGCAACTCGTTATTTCATTTATTGTTAACAAAAGAAAAAAAAAAATCGTATTTAAAATAACGCGAAAAAGAACAGAAGTAAGAAAAAAAAAATGTCAAACAAAATAAACAATACAAAATTAATATATAGTGGCACATGAAAAACGAATGCGATAAATTTAAAAGTTTCTTTCGATGTCGTATTTTCAGATATAGTGTTATAGATCCTGCTTCGTTTTATTTAATAATCCATGTGTATCTCTTACAGTATATTAATGTTTTTTTTTCCTTTATGAAAGCAGGGGTTAAAATACAGAAACATATAATTTAAGGTAGGAATGACAACTTAAAAAAAAAAGAAAAAAAAAAGGAAAGTCAAAAAATGTACATACAAGTACATCCACAGGTTTGCAGTTTTTGTGAATTTATAAATAAAACGTTGTAAAGAAAAGAAAAAGAAAAAACAGTCTTCTTGAAAAGCAAAACAAGATGCACTACACACTGTGTGTATACATTTTGGCATGTACACGTGATTAATAATTAAAAATTATCAAATAAAAAATTGGGCACTTTTACATAGATACTTCCAAACAAATTATAATTGAGTGAGATGGATACAAATAATTTAGGCTAATTTATACCTTCGACGGATGCAACAGCACATATAACCTGGGTAAAGGCTTGTAGGGAAGTAAAAAAATTAGATTGGTCAGTGGTATTTAAATTTCCATATATTTGAACAACATTTGGAATTTTCCCTGTTAACGTTTTTATTACAGTTTCATCATTATCGACATGAGTGAGTGGGCACAGCTGACGTATCATCGATGCTCTTCCATTTGATGTTGTGCAAAACATTAGACGATGTTCTTTCAGGCCTTTATCAAACAAGCCCAATCTTTTAAAAAGATCAATTATGTTTTTTTCCTGTACATCATTTAAGATTTGAGCAATTACAAAGAGTTCTGAAATTGAGCACAATTTATTGAATGGTTCTAAGGAGCTTTCAACTATGTGTACGTTGTTGCCAATAATCTTTAACACTATATCGTTTAGGCATAGGGAAATAATGGGTTTACTGCTAATATTTTTATTATTTAATTTCCTTCGATAATTTTCATTATTTACGTCATATCTTCTTTTAAATATACGGAAGTAAAAAATATAAAACATAAAAATCATACCAACTAACAGTAGTGGTTGAAAAATGGAAATGTTTTTATCTTCAACATTTTCATATGATTTATATTTTCTACAATCCTGCCCATTTTTGCACGTCCTAGGCATTTTAATTTAAATTAGACTTAAAAAAACATATACGGTCGTGGGGGATCTGTATAGCTGGTTAATTCTGAGGTATATGCCAAAAGGGGGAAATGGAAAAAAAAAGAAGGGAAAAGAATAAAATATTTTTGGGAAATTTTAAATAAGAAATAAGCTGTTCTCTCCTTTTCTTACATGTACGTGAATTTAAACAGAAATATTTTGCTATTGCTGAAGTACATAAATGGGCAGTCCGTTTCTATGCTCATACTGCCTTCATGCGCAGAATACGTATGATGTATTACGTACATTTATATACATATTTGTTTACGCTTCATGTATATGAAACAGAAAGGATTTTTGAAGGGAAGGGAGGCTCAAGTGGCACGAGCTTTGTTAATTCCATAATTATAGAAAGATTTGGCAAAGAGCGTTTATCTGATTTTGTTTACATATGTAAATTTTTTTCCTGGGCTCCCTTTTCTTTTGTTGGGGTTACGTGACGAAGTGAAAATGAAGCTGGGGGTAGGAGGAAACGTTACGTGAAAATGCGTAAGCCAAATGTGTTTATGCGGCTTCGTATACATACAAACCGTCTTTACAAAGTTACGTACATACATGCATAAATCCATGCATCGAAGAGCACGTTAATATCTGCAGTTTATGTTTATGCAAATGAATGTTTGGAAACCTTTGATTTTGTTCAAATGACTCACTCGCGATAAGTTTTAATTGCTACTTTTAACTTTTTTTTTGTTTTTCTTTCTTTTTTTTTCTTTTCTTTTTTCTTCTTTTCTTTGTTTTTTTTTTCTTTTCTTTGTTTTTTTTTTCCCCCATTATTCTCGCATGGTAGTTGCTGTGTATGTATGTGAATGCGCCAAATATGTACCACTTTTCTTGGGTGAGTAAATATGTACAGCATTCTACGTATGTACTAAATTATGTATTAGTGCTATGCATTTATATGCATAGTTAACACTATCCTCGAAACGTGTGTAAACATGCTTTGGAGTTGATGTACATTAGGGGGTTTGGTACACGTTCGAAGGCTGGGACACTTCTGTTTCCATGACTGTTTTAACGAATGATCAACTTATTTTATTGCTTTTTTCCTGCATATTCTTCATAAAAATAAAATGTAAGGAAAATTAAGAAGAGAACATTTCCAATTTAATTTCCAACATGTACATTTTAAGCTGGTCACGTTTATTTATTTGTAAAGAATTCATATTTTTTTATTAAGGAACACTTGGGGCTGCGCGAAATTTGTACTTATTTTAAAAATTTTCCTTTATGATAGCCTCCAGGTGCCGGTGGGAAATAAATATAAGTCTTTATGCATTTATATGCGTACGTAAATTCCAGCATACATGTACCTGTAAATGTGTGACGTGATTAATACCAAATAATTACGTGTCGCTTTTTCCTATTTGTGACACTTAACCCATTTTGCTATTTTTAAATGTGAAAATAGTAAGAGTGAGAATTTAAGTGGCAGAAGTGTACCTGTGTGTATGACAAAAAGAAAGACTAAAGGAATAAAATAAATTGATACAGTTATCAAATGAGATGGCATTTTTAGAAAAGAAGTTTTTATATCTGGTCAAGGTTCACATACAGTGTCGTAACGTTCAGAATTGGCTTTTCCGTCTTATATGAAATTTAAAAAGGTTATTTCCAGATTAGAAGAAGTTTATATTGTGAGGTGCAGCCATTGCTCCCTAAAAACGCGTATAAGAATTAAGTGCAGATAAATATCCATACGGACGCGTAAAGCACATACATGCATAGCAGCATACATAATGCAGACTTAGACAGCAGCACGCCTGGGGGCGTTCATTTCACAGTCGACAAAGTGAAACGTGTACGGGTTTACGTACGTACTTACGTACATACCTAGGTACATACACACGTATAAACCTATGTGCATACATATATACATACATGCATTTACATCGGCGTGCCGCCAAGACACAAAAAATGATTTAAAAACAAGTCGAAGCAGTTCAAATTCATGTGGCGGCTGCGTGCCAGCTAAGGTATACGGAAAAAATTAAAAATTGGATAGGCTAAGGCCTCCTCTATGGAGGGTCTAAATTCATAATCAAAATTTAGCAGATACTGTATGTAATTTAGGGTTACCTCTGAAATTTGTTGGTTAATTTTGGGGTAACTTAAACCTCTTTTCATTTTGTTAACTAACAGCTCCTTAGAACATTTCTCAAGATAATTAAATTGAAAGGGCCTTTCGCAGAAAAGCATTTCATACAGAATACATCCTAGTGACCATATGTCAATTTTGTCTGTGATGGGGAGACTCTTTTTATTTCTTAAACACTCGGGTGGCTGATAATATAGAGTCCCCCCTCCGTTATAGTACTGATAAGTATCCGGTAAAATCAGTTTAGCCAGTCCAAAGTCGGATATTTTTATTATTCCATCTTTTATTAACAGATTAGCGGGTTTTAAATCACAATGGTGAACCTTCCCTGTAGGTAACGTCTTCATATATAACAGACCAAGTAATATTTGTTTAACCCAACATAGCGCTAAAAGTTCATTAATTGGGCCATGAGATTTGATGTACTTATCTAAATCTATGTCGCATAATTCCATTCCAACTAATAAGTTCGTTGCGGATCCGAAGACGAAGAAAAATTCTAATTTTACTATAAAAATGTGTCTATGGCAGTGGATATGGATATTTATTTCATTCTCCGCCCTCTGGATGATTTTATTTTTAATCTCGTTGGTCATGCTGGGTTCAATTTTGTGAATTTTGGCTGCGTACATTTCTAAATTTATGGAGTCGAAAACTTCCCACACTTCTGCGAAGCCTCCTCTTCCGATTAAATTCATCATACGTATATTCATTTTTAATGGATTGTAAAAGGAGAATTCGGAATTCTCTTGGAAATTGAAATGGTCTAGTCGTTTCTCAAGTATGGCCCTTCTTTTATCTAAATTTAGTTTCATACTAAATAGTTCTGTATTTAGAAACTGAATGTTTTTCTTTAAATATTGCTTCAGATTGATGTCAATATCGCTCTTTGTCAATAGGGATAAAAGGGACAAGAAGAATTTCAACGTATGTTCCGTTGCACGGCAATTAGAAAAATGCGTACCATCTCTAAATGTGTCTCTGCTTGGTGGCAAAATAGATTTATTAGGAGTTTTTCTTTTTAGCATAGTTAACCAGGATAATTCGGATTCTTCCTTATTCTCATTTAAAATTAAATTATAATTTTTGACAGATTTGGAAAAGAAACTGTACGGGTATTGCTCAAATACTTTGTAAAATATTTCGTTATTTATTTCTTCTTGTCTTTCATTGGCAAATGTAAAGTTTCTTCTTTCACATGTAGATCTAATGATGTCTCTTTCACATTCAGTTTCGTACTCACTTGGCATTTCTTCTTCAGGGTTTTTATATTTGTCTTTAGAATATGCTTGTTTCTTATTTTGACACGTGCTTGATTTTTTAAGTCGTGCTTCCTTTGTGCTTCTGTATGTGCAGTTCTTTCCAGAATCCTTCTCTTTATTGCGACAATTTTGTTCCTTACATGCTTCATTTCTTTTTCCATTGTTAACTGTTGTGCCTGAACTCCGTGTATTTTTGGTTTCGACAATGTGGGAGGAGTTCATTTTTTTATCGTATTGGTCTTTCTTCTCTTGATTTTTATCATTGCCGTTTGTTTTTTTAATTCTGCATTTGTAATGATCCCCTTGGTTGTTGCAGTTATGAGGTGGTTCCTTTTCTCCGTTTTGGGTGTCCTGCTTTGGCATGTTACAGTTGTTACTTTTGCTAATCTCGCCTTCAATTTTCTCCTTTAGACTTGCACATTGATTTTCTGATAATTTATGTGCATTGCCTGATGAGTCCCTGTCTCCATTTTGATCGTTGGCGCTGGGACTGTGGTGTTTTTCTTTTTTGCTTCCTATTTCTGTCTGGTTTTCTTCTTCTCCTTCGGCGTCCAATTTACAGTTTTCACACGATGTTGCAATGCTTCTATTTACTTGGTTGTGACTGGAAGTTGTTGCGTCGTTTTTTAGCGCTTCCTCATCGTTATCTTTTTTTTTATAGTTAAAATTTCTTATGTCATGATATGCGTGCTTGTCCAGGTTTCTTTTATTCAAAATGGTGTAAAAATTGATGGGTTCCTTGGAAAAATTTTCCAGTAGTTTTCCATATTCAGTAGTATCCAGAGTGTTGTCATCACTTTGGTCGACTTTATAAAAATAACCATACTTTGATTGTTCATGATTTAGGAGTAGTCTATTTACTGATCTTTCTAATTGTTTTTCTTTTAGTATAGATTCTGATATTAGATATTTTAGGGAGTTAATTTTTTCCTCTATTTCATCACACTGTTTTTTGTTTTTTTCTAAATAATTTAGATCGTTTTGAAACAAATTATAAAATTCCTCGTTTTTTAGATGCTCTTCTTTTTTCTTAAATAATTGCACCAGATTCTTGAAATCTATAGCAGATAAGTCGCTATTTTGAAAATACGTTTTAATCATGCTTAGGTAGAAGTTCTTCACATGTTCATTTTTAATATTTTCGACAGATTTAGTGAAAAACTCAAGAGCGTTCTTTATTAAATCATGCAAATTGACTTTGTCCGTTAATTCTTGGTATAGTCTTTTTATTATTAAGCTGTTTTGTACCTTTGACATTAATTCGATAATAATTAAATGGTTCCTTTGTTTTCTTATTTTTTCTATTCTAAAATTAGGAATAATCATTTTTTTAAATCGTTTTATGAATTCAATTTTGTCCCTAGAGGATTTAAATGTTTTTTTGTTAATAATTTCTTTGAAAACGTTGTTTGGTTTTTTCAACTCCTCCAAATTTTTTTTTAATTTTATCATAATGTCTAAATTTTTGTAACAGCTCTTTAAATCAAACACTATGTAGCACTTTACGTTGTTTATGTATACTTCATATTGGTTCACCAAATTGTAAAAGAAGTGGGCGCCTTTATTGCTGCTGCTATCGTCATTGCGGCTACTTTCGAATTCGTATTCTTCTTCTCGCTCCTTCTCTTCTTTTTCCATCCCTTCGTCTTCTGCCGTTACTGCTATATCTTCCACATCATCCGCACATTCTGAACCGTTCGTATCTTGAGCTTTCTCTTTTAACCCATTCAAGAAGACCGTTTCGCTGTTTTCCTTATCGACTCCGTTGCTCGTATTAGTCGTTTTATGTTTTTTCTTGTAGTGTGTGCTATTGTTACTTTCCAAGATCCGGGTGGTGTTGACAGTGTTTCGCTTTTTCCGTTTCCTTTTATCCCCTTTTTCCATTGCAACATCAGAGGCGACATGAGGATGAGCGAAATTCTTGTCATTTTTGCAGTTAACGTTACCAGTTAGCTCCATTTCCCGGCTTATTTCTCCGTTTCGCTTTTCGTCTAAGTGGTTGTCTATATGGGTAATTTTAAGTTCACATTTTGCTTCCTCACTGCCGTGTTTATCATGATGGATACGTTGTTCGTTTTTCGAATTCAAGTCTTGTTCAGAAACAAAATTGGTGTTTAACATTTTGGAGTTGGACAGTGTGTTTCTTTTCTCAAAATAGGATTCAATGTGCTGTTCGTTTTGTCTTTCATTTGGTTGACTACCATGGTTGCCACTCTGCTTATCATTCTGCTGTTCGCTTTTTTGGTCACTCTTCTTGTCACTGTTTCTGCTACTCTTGTCTGCTCTTCTGGAGATTTTGATGATGTTTTTAAAATGGGCATTCCTCAATTTAATGAAGCAAGGGTTATACATGGTGTTACTTTTTATATCTGATTTTGTGATAAAGAATTTATTGACCTTTTCATCAAAATTGTACACCTTAAATTCGAAGCTTATGCCTGGTATTATCAGTAAATTGTTAAGCGTATCAATAAAAATGAGCGGGTTTGTTTTTAAGTAGTCTACATAGTTTTCTTTTTTATATTTTTCTCTAAATTTAATTTTCTGTTTTAGTAGGTACAAAAAGGTGTTTTGCTTAACATTGGACGTATTGTAATCATTATTATCGTCATAGGAATACAACAATATGAGTTTCTGAAATGTATCTACATTTTTGTATATAATTCCATTCACATAATGCAATAGGTCATTTATTTCCGTCAAATTTAATTTCAGTTCATACTTGAAGATTTGATCAATTTTAGGCATCTCATTTTCCTTAATTAAGATATTTTTCACATTTTTTATTCTTTGTTTTAAAAAATTTCTCGATATACTATCTTCATTTTCGTCCTTCATTTTATTTGTTCCCCTCTTGTGGGTTTATTTTCTCTTTTTTCTTTTCGAAGTGGTAAATGGGGAAAATAGTAGCTGGTGAAACCTTTTTCTCACGGAAAAAACGTTAAGGTTAATCTTAAAAAAAGCAGATGTGCTGTGAGGAGTTTTGCTGAAACTGTCCCTTTTGCGCAATTTTACCCCCTTTTTGGAATATGAAAAATGGCTGTTCAAAATTGTTTGAGTTGCGATTCACAAAAAATTTTTATGCAAACTTGTGAGAGGAACAAATGCGCGAATATCAACGTATACGCATATGTTAATATATATATATTTTTCTTTTCTGTACATATAAGACTTGTAAGGCGCTTGTGCCCGTTTGCTTTGGTTATAAATTACATTTCCGAGGCCAGGGTTGTACAGTATGGTATAAGTAAAAAAAAGAAACATTTCTTCAATCATCTGGAAAAAAAAAAACAAAAGGAGGCTGAGCCCGTAAGGAGGTTAAATGTGTACGGGCAAAGGTTAACGCGTTAAACTTAAATTGTACGCGTGGCATTATACCTAGATGTACATTCTGCACAAATGCGCAGTAACAGATATTTCGCGTTAGGGAAATTTTCGCACTTCATGTCCCTCTATGCTAAATTCTGAATCCCGTCGTATGATTCATCAGTGTTGGAAATAAACCTGTACTATGCATTTGAGTATGAACCTATGTGTGCACATATTAATGTGTGGGTTAATATTGGAATATTGTATATTAAAAATATACCTTGGAGCATTCTTCTCTTTCGCGCATGTACTATTGAGATTCCTGAGGCGTCATTTTTCTTGTTTTCTCAGATTAAAGTATGTGGACTTTTTCATAGGTCCAACCACGAATACACTAGTTAAGTTTATGTGATATTAATTTTCCTCAAGTTCCTGATGAGTTCCAAGATTTTTTAGAGTGCAGAATGATGCAGTAGAGTTGGGCTGAAATTATATATATTGGCGATACTTTTGCCAACCTATGCTATTTTTCGGGCATTATGTTTACTTTGTCTGGATAAATAACATAGACAGGGCTCACACAACTTTAATATGTGACCATGTTTTGGACTGTACGCTAAAGTTGGAATTGTAGCAGTAAATTTATCCGGAAAATATTTCAACTGAAAAGTAACACCAAAATTGTTAGGCCGCGCTATGTTTTTTTTTAAAGTGTGTATTGGCATGAGTAGCTTTTGCACTTAACAAAATTGCACTTTCTTTTTTTTGTAAGAAGTTGGAAATCAGGGGGACTATATTTTGCGGAGTATATATAAAAATATTGCGAATGCTTTAAATTCCCGCAATGTACCGTTGGTTACGCGGATAAGAAAGAAAAAAACGAAAAAAGAAACAAAAGAACACCAAGTTGTTCTGAATGTTTCTTTTTTTATCCATTCTTTTACTTACAGGGATGGGGCTTTATTACGGACGCACAAGTACCATATAGAAAGTTCTTTCTCAAATTGCCTGCAAATCAATTTTTCCGGCATTATAAGCGCGTGTAACCCATTTAGATTTCCCCCTTGTTTCTTTTATAAGTTTTCTATAACATTTCTGCACAGTTCTAAGTCCAATTAAAGCTAGACAGATGAGATATATGCACAACTTCATGAACAGAAAGAAAATGAAGCCCATTATACATTAATGTGTTATATGCCCCAGGTTGTAAGGACGACAGGTTGTGCAGGGATTTGTGTATATATACAAATGAGTTCTGATTGTTCTGAATATTATATTCGGGAAAACACAAAGCAGTGTCACATCTTACATGTGATCCGTTTTTTGTAAGTGATTTCAATTGGAAAAAGAAGAAAACAAAATACATGTTAGGAATGACTCAGATTAATATGAGAGAATGATGAGATGAAGTATTATATTCTTACACCTTCATCAAGGGTTTATGTGTCCCCTTGAGTAATTATGAAAGAAATATGCAATGTTAATGAAAGGAAAAAGATATGTAAGATCGCATAAACCTGTGTCGAAGTGGGGAGGTTGCGTCCCAAAACAGCCATTCATAGACAGGCCTAAATTTATGAATCACCTGCGAGATATTCGGACTAAATAATAATCTTATCCTAATGAAAGAAAGAAGGAATATATTTTTCCTTTTTGTTTTAAGAAGTGATGCTAAGGGGAGACCCTCTGGGAAAAGATACTGATGTATGCCACAGTATAGCGCATAATAATTTACATTCCTATTTTTACAGATTAGGGGTTATACTAGCTATAAATGAGAAAAATGTAAAATTAATTTCTAATGACAAATCATCAAATGCATTTTTAACATCCAATCCCCCTTCAATAATAACAGGGAAGAGAACAAGCAGCTTGTGTCAAACAATGGTAAGGGGTTTAACACAAAAGAGTATGCCACTACCCAGATGACAAGAGAATAATTAATGTAAACGGAAACATATGAGAAGAATACAGGAGGACAGGTTATGAGAAGTAAGGATAAATAAGAATAACTAAGGAAGACAGTATTAAGTGTTTTACAGTCGTTTACATGGGAGGATTACCTCCAAGAAGTGCAGAAGGAAGCTGTAGGATTTGATTCTTAATGAAGATAACAGAAATGGTACAATCCCATAAAAGGGGCGAGATAGGGTGACATTATGGATAAATAACAACAGTGTAATAAAGGTACAATAAAGAGGAGGAGGAATACACTAGGTATTTCTGGCATGGAGCAACTGAATACAGCACGGCCGCTTTATATAATAACAGAGGAAGTCACAAAGCCAAATAGAGAAATGGAACCTCTTACAACGGGAACATGGCGGATAAATAGTACGTGCTATTAACAATCAAGGAAGAAAGAACTATAGATAGAAAATTTATAATAATTAGGGAAATTAAAGGAGCAAGTGAATGATAGATGCAGACTGGAAGAATGAAAAAAGTTGACAGGAATAGTCATGCCAAGAGAGTCTTACAGAGACATTGTGCACAAATACAGCCGTAAGAAATTAAGAAGCAAAAGGCATAATAGAAGTTTGTGCATTTCAACATGTCCGAGAGATCAATAATAAAACAGGAAAACATATAATAAAGACTGAATAAAGGCTAAATAAAAGACAAACCAAATCGGGGCGTCCAATAAGAGGAAGAGAGTGTAAAAGAGCGGGAAAAATTTGAATGGACCAACGGACAATTATAAAACAGGGGTGGCTGGTTTGTGCGTCGAAATACGGAAATTTCACGGAATGGCTAGGGAAAATATCAGACGGCAGCCATGCCAATGAGCAACAAAATATCACATGAGAAGAAAGTAAATTAGACAGAATAATAAGAGGGAATAAAAGCAAAAGGCAGGATCCACCAGGCCGTGTTATGCACGGACCAGTATAAAATGCCTATTCGAGACTTGGACAATATAATAAACAGCAGGAAAATTGAAGTAAAAGAAGAGAAATCTAGAGTAATATAAAGGGGAAACCCAGAGAACAATCAAGGGTGAAAATATTAGAACCTACGAGGCGACAGCTGAAACGACGAAAATGAAATATTCCTAAAACCTAATGGGCCATATGAACAAAGAGGAAATGTCTCTTGGGGGGTATATATGACTACATGATACAAATGTCAGTTCAGGAAATTTGCGATCAATAACATAAAATGACAACATATATATAAAGATAAAACGAAAATAAGAAGCATAGAATAAGAAGAGATAGACAAACGTCGAAAACAGTAAACAACAAGGGAACAACCCTCCCTTATACGGGGCTTATAGGACTAAAGCAAAAAGAGAAGCCCAGATGACGGGATGGGCAACACTGGGAATAAGAGAAGATGTAGTAGGTCTAAAATAGAGGATGATATCAGAGGAGGACCCTCCTATTCAGCACAGGATCGATATATCCGAACACAAATATTCCTATGACACCGGGAAACTGTTATAATATTGCATGAGCCACAAATCATTACATAACCTGCAGAGGAGAATAGATACAGCCGCGGTAAATAAAATAAGGAATATGAAAAATATAGAAGAAATAAACAGGGCGTGGATGATAAATGATAGAACCAAAGAGAGGCTACCTAGACAGAGCGTCGAATACCTTCTTTAGGGGAAGCAGAGGAGAATAAAAAGTGATCCAGTACTCTGCAAGTATGGGAGACCAATCTATAAGCACCATGAGAGGGCTTGAAGTTTGAAATAAAATCCCTACGGATGAAAGATCCTACAGTAAAAGAAGGGTTTTCTATTTATAATACTAAAAGAAATCCAAAAGGAATATAATAACACAGGCCTTTACCGGGGCACAATGCTCACAGGAGGATTGAAACAGCAGAACACACGATATCAGTAAGCCAAAGAGCCAGTACAGCAAACCCACGGAAGCAGAATAACTTGTTAGACGAGCACAATAAGTGAAAATTTCAGTAACAAATTAGGGATAAATACATAAGAGGGCACAACACGCTAAGAGTTAACAGGGGATAAAGGAGCATCGTCAGAGAAGCTATATCCGTGTAATTAGTGCACACGGCACTGAATTAAAATACACTATAGCAGTAGTTAAAGGACACCAGATGATGAATAAAACAAGAGAGTAGCTATCCACATGAGCAATGATGCACGCCGCGAGGACAGAAGAACCAGTGCCTGGGAAACCTATAGATGCGGCATACAACTCGATAGGAAGAGATCTATGGCATATATCTGCGGCCAAAGTGAGCCGCTAAAGGGGGCTTCTTGGTCATACGAGCGTTTGTAATAATAGGAGCATCAGGAAAAATAACTACAGAAGAAAACGCCTTGTCATACATAAACTCGGGAAGCAAAAATAAGGCGCAAAGAATAACCTACCTAAGGAGCCAAAGGCCTTCACATATAAACAAGAAAACACAATGACACCAAGAAGTTCGCGAAAGCGCATGATCCAACTACAGAACCTTAGGATAGGGGAGACAGGAAATGTCGCAACAGTACACCTGTACGAAGAATATAGAGCCTATAATGTTGCCAAAAGTTAGAGATAACACTTACTGTCGCTGTACTCAGGAACCTGAGATATATGATAGTGCAGGAAAATTCAACAACATGGAACCCCATGGCTATGTAAGCATTACGGATAAGATAAGTTGATGAATAATGGAATAGGATACATAGAAGTAAACAGCATACAGTGCCCCGCCTCCTCATAATTTTCTCAGCAAAACATGAAACGGACTAGTAAATGAAAGAACTGACCGCATCATCTCCAACAGAAAACAGTTATAATAAGTCATAGGTTATGGGGCAGATAATTGTTTTATTCGCATTTAAGTTCTTCTACAACTTATCAGTTAAGAATGAAAAATTTAAATTCGAGAAGAGGAAAACATATCAGATGGGATCTCCTCTGCCGTGAATTCTGGGAGGCAATTAAAACGGCAGAACCTGATGGAAGCAATTATCAACAACTAAACTTCCTGCTTCAGCAGCTGTCTCCACGAGATCATGAAGAGGATTTCAGATACATGCTTCTATATCTACAGAGCTATGTGAAAACAAAAGCAGCCGAAGGAAAACAAGAAGAAAAAGAGCATCTCCTGCGTCAACTGGTCCACTGCATACTGAAGGTGTGGTTCTGTGCGGGGGTTGCTAACCCTCTTATTAGTTGGGAGAAAGTGACGCATGCCGTAGGAATAGAAGCAGAGTGGAAGAACCTGCAAAATACAGTAATAACTGAAGCCTGCGCCGCTATTCAGCAGGCTCCTCGAGAGTTCAAGGCATCAGGAATATTCTCAGGAGCGTGTACAGCAGGCGTGGACAAGACTAGTAACATCCATTATGATTGCACAGGTTACATTCTCCGTGCGCGATTACAGAACGGGGCGCCTAATTATAAGAAGGAGGGTTGGGTGAACATCAGAAACATTAATATACCTCCGAAAAGCATTAGTGTCTGGTTACGAGCTCTACCTATCATCCCTCTCTTAATCTTAGCCGTCATTCTTTGGCATATATGGGATCGGGAGTGCCCTGACTCGTTTTTCTCCAGGAGGCGACGGTAATGAGCACTGGAAGCGTCAGGAGGGTAGAGACAAACAAAGGGAGTCCATTACATGAGCACGCTAGCATGAATGATAACGTCAAATATTCACTCTTATTTCACTCATATAGTTATATATTTACTCACAAGGATCCTGGATTTCAACTGAAGAGAATTTTTCGAGGGGTGCTAAGGCAACGTAATCCGAGACCAAAAGATGGACCTCCTAATATTTATGAAACCCGTGATGTAGCACGAGGGGTTCTCTCCTATGCAGCTGGTCTAGCTACGTAAAAGCATGAGCAGGCCCTAGGAACATACCATTACAAGATTTGTCATATTCCTCTCTAATATCAGCAGAATAGATACGAAAGAAAACATAGAAACAATTGGGGGTACTTTTCTGTATGTTGATTGCGTTCATGCTTCTTCTTATCTGAAGGGGAGAGATGGAAATCCCAAGGTAAAGATCACTTGTGATGAACACATCGAACTTCTCCTGTTTCAGCACTGGTGAGCCTTATTATGGCTTCAAATCATCCACTACTTCGGAAGTATTATGATATGTTCAACGATAGTCTCTCTACATACAAGCAGGGCCTTTCTTGATCTGGATTGGGTAGGGAATATTAATTCTGAATTAGATTGTATCTTAGTGATTAATTATATCAGATTCGACGCCTTCCTTATTAAGGGATTAACATCTCTCAAGAATATAAATAGCGCTACGGCGGCAGTGTATCTGAAAAAAATGGATTCCCTGAATACAACTGTTTTTTATGTGTCTATAACCTACGGATTGTTTATACCAGTAGAAGTTGTATCCATTAAGTGTCGCTCTCTTCATTTTATAAATTCTGTAAGAGTATTTGGAGATGTACTGTGTAGATACAGCTAGTGCTGGTAGTTAAAAGTGTATACTTCTCTGGAGGAATACGATGTCCTTGGAATTCTGTAATAGTGGCATCGGGAATGGGGGGTGCCCATATCCACAGATAATATATTGGGATGCCGTACCATACAGAATGCCGGATTTTTTTTCTGTGAACAGTAGTACTCGTAGTTAGGAGTACGCGTCCCCACGATAGTGATTTAACAGATGTATTCAGCATTGCAGCCTATTGAAGTACTTAGCAACAGGGAAATCCTATGAAATCTTCAATTGGGCATAGAAAACCGTTACATCATATCCCTGGTTTCCCAGCGGAGTAAAATATGAATTAAACGGTGGAATGACTTCGAGACCATTAGAAAATGCAGCACTAAAAACACGATCCCGTAAGAATAGAAGAAGGAGATCCTGATTTTGTTCACGGTAAAGGCTGTTAAGGGAGGGATGACATCAGCAGGAATCCTCCTGAAGCCAAGAGGAGCCCGAGACGAATAATGTAAACTTTGAGCTACTTAGTTTTCTCTATATTTTAATATCTCCTATTATTCCATGAAACGCGAGTGTGTCTAGGTAGTAGCGATTTTTATATAAGACGTGCTTTAATAATATAAAGAAATATGCAGGAAAAGGGCAGCCATTAAAGAGGAAGTGCTCATAATCTACTGTAATCTCAAGAGTATACGTATCCACCCTATATTTGTCTGTCTAGTACTCTTTGTCTTGAGATGTATCATCATTTGAACAATCCCTGAGATATTTCACGTGTTGCTATTAAACCAGCAACATTCTATTAATCTGTTGCTTGTATCTATAAAAGTAAGTCAGAGTCTCATTGTGTATGGGAACAAAATTGATATGGCAAGCGTCTAGTATTGATGGTTAAATTATTCTTGAAAGTTCTCCACTGATATCCGCAGAATACGTGTCTATAACCAGTATGTGCACTCGGGGGTAAATGCTATTTTCAGTTTATTATAGGAATGTAAGACAATGGCTCTAAACATTAGGATATATAAAATAGAGTCATATTATGTGCTTCAGTGAGGGTAATGTGATATTATGTAGACAGTAACGTCTCAGGAAGCAAATGAATGACAATGAACGTATTCCTATGTGAGTAATACACGCCACTTCACCCTCCGGATACAAGTAGTCAATTCAGACATGATTATGCTTAGCAGGAAAATAACACACAAGTAGATAAGCTCACCCAATATAATGGACTGTATAGATCCTCAGATATTAGAAAAGGAAGGAGCATATAACCTCTTGAAAGAAGAAACGAAATATATGAATCGCCACATAAATGACATAGATCTTTGGATGCCTGTGAACATACCCAAAAGGAAAATGGTGAAGACTAGTGTTACTCCATGTGATCCTGAAACGAAGGAGGGAATGAACAAGCGCAAATACTCCTGAACATGATTATACAGAAGGCAAGGACAGAAAAAAGGAGCTGAGAAAATTCACCAATACTGAGAGTACGAAGAAAGAGACAATATTAGAAGAGAATAACTCTTTATGGCATGATGAAGAGTTTTAAGGAAGAATTGTGTTAGATGTATCATATAGAGAAATAATTCGATCCTACGAGGAGTTACAGACGAATATGCA